CCGATATTTTCAAACTTTTTTAACTCGATTTACGCTAATCCCACGTATGGATCATTCATTTGAAAAGGGTTCCAGCTTATGCGAACAAAGTCGATGTAAACGTGGTACGGACTCCATGGAAATACCCAACAGCAAAAACTTGATTACGTACTTAACCAATTTCATTAAAAATTCATTTGTACCATTACCACATAATGCAGTGTTCGGAAACCGTGTCCGTATTATACCATAGGTACCAGCAATAAATATTAACAGGGTTACTAAACAATTTATTTGTCAAATAACATATATTCATCACTTAAATGTTTCAACAGATTTTATAAAACATTTTGAAGGAATCATTTCTCGATATATTTCCTTTGGCAATTCACAGTCGCTAATTAACTACATCATTTTACACACGAAAGTTTCACTATTCTTTTCGATTAAAGAGCCAATGAACTCGTTCTCTTCTTTCAACCGAAAAATAAGAGCCTGAGGAATAGATTCAGTAAGTAAGTTGGATGCGCTTTTCATTAGTGAATAGTAGCGTTACAAGAAGAAGTTGGAAAGATGTCACAAGCGTGTGTGGATCGTTAGAGCGCTTGTCAGCACTAGAATCAAAACATTGGTTTATTCTGTACAAACTAATGCACCTTAGCTCTCTTTTCAGACTGGATAAATCAATCAAAAGCATACTACAATATACAAAAGTTTTTCCCCAAACCTAACAGTGTGTGTTTAATAGAACTTGTACTTAAATAAGATATTGGCTATCCACCACAAGCTAAACTGATGGATTAAGCACTGAAAGATCAGAGAATAATATTACGAAAGTTATAAGCTTTTCAAACTCGCAAGTTTAGAAACTTGGTTAGGATTAAAAGACTTTTCATGTTTAAGATCGTCTCAGAGTTCTTTGGAGTTGTTCATTAATATTTCAATAACTGCTGAAAAATGTAGTAAGAACAGAGTCATATTCATGTTTATTATCGTAAAATCGATTTTCAGACCCCGACTTAATGTTTTACAAGATCGGAGTCCTTCAAAATGCTGGGTACCAAAAGGGCGCCTAATTAAAATTAAGAATAAAAAGTGAAACCTTTTCCTATGTATTTTTGCACTGCGTAAATTTGATATCTCGTTGCATGACGATTTTTCGTGTAAGTAGAAATTACAGGGGAAAATTTCACTGTCTTATTCCTGATTTGAATAAGACGCCTTTTTTGTGCACATCGTTTTGAAGGATTCCGACCTTAATGTTAAATCGGGGCCTGGACAACTTCAACTGCAATGATTTCTGTTAAAACGTAATCAGCAAAAGCAAACGTAAAGAAAACAACATTGTGAAGAGGAGATCATATAAACTAGTACGGAATACAACCGCAATACTACATGCTTTAATCAATAATTTTTCGTTTGAACTTGAACTTGAAAGTTTATTTTATGCCCAAGAAAACATCTCGTAACAAACGAAAGCACAAAAAAACCAAAGGCTTGTAAATAAAGTGCCACCACGCAAAAAGTCATGCATGAAACTAATAGATATTTTATCATGGTAGTGGACAATCCTGTTATGAAATAACTAGATATAGGTGTCATTTTTATTGGATATATCGGGCCTGGTATCTAATGCAAGAAAATGCTAGTGTGAGGAGGCTAGTGTGTCCCCGATATAATGGTCTGTTATAACCCAATATATCGACTCATGTACTGACAGCATGACGGATGCTGTTTACATTGCACCCCAGTATGTCTGTATGCAGACATCCTGCTTCCTGTAATATATTGGTCTATTATTATTCAATATATTGACTTGATATGAATAAAAACTTTGTAAATTTATGGAGTATATGTGTTACATATATAGGTGCTGTGGCTGCAAAACAAAAAGGTGAATAAGCCGACCGTCAATGTATCGAGTAATGTATTGGGCAAGCTAGATATATTGGGTACGGTATTGGGTTATATAGGTATATTGACTAGAGTATTGGGTTAGCTAGCTTGGATTGCCCAATACTCAATACTTTCTTTTTACTTGTATCTGGGTATACTCTGGGTTCTCTACAAAAGTATGTAAGTAGAGGTCGAGAGCTCCCATAATTTTCGGACCGTACACGTTTCGCTCAGATCTATCTGTCTCAGTGCGGTTAGCTCTGATAACCCTACAAATAACTTCAAACACTGCCGTGATTTTCCATCACGCTGCGTCTCGTGGTAATGTTTGTTTTTAGAAGAAAATTTAAGAACCTAATGGAAACCTGTAGCACTTGAAATAACCCCCATTCAAGGCTATTTTTGTCGGAAATTAAAAAGTTACTCACTCAGAAAATAGCATTGTCTTGCTTCTAACGGTTCAGAGAAAACCCTTCAAAGACAAAAGTAATTTTTATTGATTTTATAACTTTTGTTGAAACTTCGAATATATGGTTTGCAAAATGTTGAAAGCTGCATCTCTTTATCATCTTTCGTTTCCATATTATTTAATAATTATAAAAGTCCATTCTAATAATTTTGATTTTTTAAACTCAACTTGTTTTAACTAAATAAATGTTTACGACCTCTTTTTCATTACAGAAAAGCTCAAAGCTTGGAAACTTGAACTGACCCTTACTACGCGCGCAGTCCGCAGACTGTCTTTTCGTAACTTTTCTCTCAGCACAGTTGAGAATATATACGTCAGACGTCACCGCAAAAATTCGGTGATTCGATCTTCAGACTTCAGCTTTTCTGTAACGAAAAAGCGGTTGTAAAACAAAAATTTATTTAGTTCAAATAAGTCGAGTTTGAAATGTCAATATCATTTTCTTTATTTAACCGCACTAAACTCGCGTGACTCATAGAGAAATTGTGACAATGAATTTGTCTTTTCTCTGGTTCACCGTCAGAAAGCCTATCAGTAAGTGGATAGATGACTGTCGCTGAAGGTTGAATCATTTCGGTGACGTCTGACGTATATATTCTCAACTGTCTTGAGAAAAAAGTTGCAAAGAGGCAGTTTCGAGGAGTACGCGCGTAATAAGTGCCAGTTCAAGCTTCCAAGCCTTGAGCTTTTCTGGAACGAAAAAGCAAACAAGTAAGAAAATATATAGGTGAACCCTTATGTGTGACGTTTATTAACTTTGATTTGAAATTAACTAAATAAGACGAAAACGTTCGGAATCAAATTTAGAAATCTACACGGGCTGAAAGTTTTAGGACCAACTGGAACTTTTTCAATTGTTTAGAAATTCTTGCATCTTTGATGTTCGTTGCAATCACATGTACATTTCTCAGACTAAAGTGCATGCTTTCTCCTCAAGATGTTATATAAAGTGCTTCCAAATAGGTCTGACTCGTCCTTCTATTATGTTATTCAACAAAAATTTTCGACACCGCCCGATCTGATCACTGTTCAAAATTTTTCTGCCCGTCTCCAATAGTTCTGATCTCTGACAAGAATAACTAAATATTATTAGAATGATATTCAGTTGTCGTAAATTTTTACAAGACTCCACTCTCCTAAATACTCGCAAGAAAATGTTCACCTACAGCTTTGTTACTCTTATCTTCAAGTATAGTATAATAATACGTATGAAAAGCGTTTGAACTTTAATTATTACTGAGAAAAATAATTAAAAATGTCCTGTTCGAGTATAAGTTATTCCATTTCCGATTGCTGACGCAAAATATGTGTCAAAAGTTGTATTTTGCCAATTTCTAGTGTTAAACTGCGCTTCGGCATAATATGGACTGCCACTTCTACTAATTACTTGTCCCGGAATCAATTCCCATTGATACAATATCTGCGCACCATTATCTGCGGATGATGAATTCGTTGTACCAGGCCAGAAAATGTTATACATTGAACTAAAACTAGCACTGAAAGGACTTTTTTGAACAGTTATCAGTACTGACAGATTTGTTAACGTAACTGTCGTATTGATTTGTAAATGTTCAACGCAATAATATTGAGAATAGTAAACGTTAATATTTCCAGCAACAGTGAATATAAAAGGTATGCCAGTATTTGAAGTTGTTGTTGGTGAGCTGCTAATAGTTATACTAGTAGCATTGCTATTACTACTTACCTGCAGTACAAAAAACACTAGTGAATAACATCCCCAATTAACAGAGTAAGAATTTACCGTTGTTGATAGTGTACTGGCGCTACTGCTTATATCTGATGCCGTTATTGCTAGAAAGTAAATGAAAACATAAGCAACTCCTCTTTGGTGCGTAATTATAATGATTCAAATCTTGCTTGTCAGTCACTTTTGTCTAAATGGTTTTTGAGACGATGTTTGAAAAAACCAGTTTAGTTTTCGAAAAAAGATTTTTCTTCTGAGCTTGATAACCTATAGTGTCTTCTTCCTAATGAGAGTTAAGTGAGATCTCGATTCTTAATTGTTTAGTGGTGCCATCCGAATTTCAAAGAATAACAATACTGTTGTGACATGACTTAACGATGATCCGTTTTAAAAATGAAGCGAAAATCTAGTTAAACTGAGGCACATACAGATTCTAGAATGTAAAGGAATGCGGGAACGGGACGCGGAAGCGGACTCCACCACCTCAAGGATTTGTTTCTTTTTGAGTTTGTCCTATAACCGCTATGTCATTTAAATCGCTGACTCTTCATGTGAGAAATTTTGCCGTTCACACCGTGAACCACCTCAAAATTTCTTTCTGAATCCACGAATCAGGCATAAATCCCTGTTTTTCAGCTAAACATTACAGTTTGCTTGTAAAGTTTCCTCGCTAGTATCTCACTATGCGTGCTAATAAAAGAGACTTTAATACTATCTGATAGAACATGTACTTGTAACCGTAGTTTCTGATGTTTTTGGTTGAGTTATTGAAATATATGTAGCTGGAATTACTGCTGCCGCACATACACTCGTCAGTAATAATGCACCTCCAACTATGTATTTGCGTTTGCTGGAACTTATAAGAAACAGAAACTCAAAAGAATAGTTTTAGCCTTCGTTGCGTTACTGTGTGACATACGTTTTTGTTGGTATTTCTGGGAGTTGGCTAATATTTTCGTTGAATCTCATTGGCCTAGAAGGTGTATATGGAACATCCTACAGTTAAATATTATTGATGGGTCAATAACTGTCGTTTGAATGAGAAGTTCGTTAGCATTTCTATACGCACTTGCGATTGTGCGACAGCTCCAGCAGCACTTGTGTCTGACATTTTCTCAGTTTCTTTTTTTGTAATCACTTTAAAAGCTGTGATTCCTTATTAAAAGAATAATTGTTGTTGAAACAATTGCTTCAAAATTTATTTTAGCAGCATAAAAAAGCAATCAACTGTAATGTGAAAAAGTGTTGCTCTTACATAGTACAATACCTTTTAAATGAGATTGAATGTACTTTTAGAAAACACAAAATAACGTTTAAAAGAAAAAAGAAAGGGTTTCTTATTATTAAAGATGTTAGTTTTTGTTTTTTTATTTATTAAACCAAAATGTGACATGCCGTATAAAATTTCTACGACAATATCTTTGTTGACACAGCTTCTCGAAGCTGCTTTTGAAAGATGGTTTTTTTCTGTGATTTCTGTGATGTAACTGACAGAACAACAGTTGATGAGAAGTGTCGCAGATTCAGAATTCAGCAAGTTTAATTTCTGTGCGATATTAATATATAGCTTGGTAGAGTTCATCAAACCGAGCAAGAATGTGCGTTTTAAGGTTCCGAAAGAATTTTTTGCGAGTGAAACTTTCAACGCTCCCAAAGTGACTAGGTTAGAGATATGCGCCCGTTTTTAACATTAGGCTGTGCTTTCAAGTTTTAAAAATTCCAGTTTTTTGAAAGTTTCACTCGCAAAAAATTCTTTCGGAACCTTAAAACGCACATTCTTGCTCGGTTTGATGAACTCTACCGAGCTATATATTAATACCGCACAGAAATTAAATCTGCTGAATTCTGAATCTGCGACACTTTACACAGTTACTTGAACAGATACCTGTTTAGGGAGAAAAACTATTGAACAGGCTTCATGATTGTATTTTAGGTGGAGTCGTTCGATTTCGCTGCCAAAGCAAACGTCTTCAGTTTTACAGCACATCACATCAGGTAGTGATGCGATGGAATTCGGACTTTTTTCGTAAAATGGCCTTTTCAAAACATTCAAATGTTCATTCACTCTCTTCTGTTCGTTAATGAATACTGATTTGCTATTCTCATTTTGAAAATCGAAATATATTCAGTTCCTTCTAATTTTCGTTTTACTTCAGTTCATTTTC